AAGAAGTATTTTATTTTGTTGCTAGTGTATCAAAATGCCCTTGAGTAACTTTCTTGTATGAAAATTAAATTCTTCTTTTACTTCCTTATAAATACTTTGTAAGTTTCAATTATTATTGTGTATTCAATTATATACACATTTATTTCCTTCAATATTTATTACGCAAAAGAAAAATGTATTTAGTTGTTTTTATGTTATCATTAAATGCTAAAACATTTCAACTACGTTGAGTGTTTAGACCGCCAATTGGTCAAAACCTAAATGTGCAATACGCATTGTAGAATGAATTCAAGTTATGACATACAAATCTACGTTGCATGAGATATACTAAAGGTTCTGATTATTATAAATTAAATAAATAACACTTCTTACACTTAAAATGCGCCAGCGTTTGTGAGTGGCCGCGCGGCCTACTAGCCTAGTCCACATTGATGCTGATTGTATGTCGATTTTGTAAGTCATAAGTCAAGCTGCGAGAGCACGGTGACAGCATCCATACGTTTTCTCTGCCCATTGTAGTTCAATGTGAATCCAATTTGCGTCGAAGGCCACACGCAAGCGATGCGACGCGAAAACGATGGGGAGTTCTGGACCCATGGACGCAGGCTCCGCCGCGCCTTGCTACGAGCGACACTCAGAGAAATTGAGGCGATATCACTTGTCTTATAATACGACCACATATACTTTCTGTCCTAGTGGCCAACAAAGATGGTTACCATAAACCTGTTCTTCGTTGCTACCTACCTACCTAAAAGTAGTTTGCAAATATATACAAAAAAGGTATTTTTTATAATACAATAAAAATGATAAAACCACTAACCATAGAATAAAAAAGGACTTTGGAAAACTTTACAGGGTTTCGGTGTTGAAGGTCCCATGGCTGACATGATGATAATATTTCTGTCTGATGAATCTTAGCAGCCCTTTGACTTGAACTATTTGTTTATTTGTGTTGATATTTTATAGGTTTTGATATGAGTTGAATCTTTTTGTGTTTTTTTTTAAATAATATGTCTGAGGCACAATGAAAACTGTCCTGCCCTAAGTATATGAAAAATCTTATTACTCATTGTGATTACTTTTGTAACAAATGGTATATTGACAACATTACCTAGAAGATAAGGTAATGTTGTCAATACGTTGTTTTATCGCAAGCAATACCTACTTTATCTCGTCGTCCTTGACAATGAAAAAAGATTACTTTTATGTATAATATTAGCGTTTTGCAATTTTCATACCTAAATACTTTTATATTACTTATATTCTTCTTCGAAGGTATTCAATAAAGACATTAATAAATACACGGATGTTTTAATTTAACATTATTTATTAACCTTCAATCTATAGTCAAAATATGACTGCTGTTAATTTTTTTTAAACAGGGCTTTCTAAAAATGTATAATTGATACAAAATTAGGTTAAACGTGTCGAAAAGGAAGGAGTCCTTTCTCTTCGTATCTGTTCGCCCACAACGTAAGACGCGCCGATCTGCTCGCGTCGTGTTGCAGAAAGATTTCTCTCGTGCCCGTATTTGGATTCAGGTCATGTTGTCTTCGTCCAAACACAATCTAGTTTACTCAAAACACATGCCTCAAAAAAGGTAGATGATCAGCGCATGTAAATAGTTTTTACGCTTAATTGCCAATTAGTTGAACGTCTTATAAGGATTAGAAAATTTAGAAAATAAAATAATGAACAAAAGTAAAAACGATTGTTAAGTAAATAATTCATTTACCATGACTTGAATTTTCAGTATGCGGTCGCATATTGGCACATGTTGGAACCAAGGATCTTTAGTACAAAAGCACGTGTCCGAACATGAACTGGGCACGCTGCTTAGTTTTATTATCAAATAAACGTTACGACCACGTCGCCATACTTTCTCACGCAATTCAATTCTGTATTTATATGACGAAAAAACCGGTTGATTTTAAGTAGGTTAAAAAATGCAATTATACTATATTATCAAAATGTAATGTTAATTTTGAGGATAAATTGATATTCACATTACGTATAACCTATTTACATATATATATCTACATATTTATAAAAATCAAAGTCAAACTGATCTAGAACTTAGGGTTCCCTGGTATATAATCAATGAACCCTGTGTAATATAGGGATTAAATAAAAAAAAGTTAAAATATGAGCCTAAAATGATGTTAAGTGTAAAATGAATGTCAAAGTGTATATCTACATAGAACAGTATAAGTCTAGCATACAATGTTAACGTACATAAAATAAGTACACAGATATAGTACCTACTTGACCTCGCGAGGTGAGGCGTGGTTAATGTTAACCGCTGCTTCCTGGTTAGCCACTCAAAGATCGGGAAATCGTTAGAATGTCGTTGATATTTTTGCACGACCATGAACACAAAATGTTCAAGGTCAGTGCCTACTATATTTTGACGACAACGACAAACGTGTAGAAAGTGATTTAGATCGACTTACGATATTTTGGCTTTATTTCAAACTAGCATTGATTCGAAACGCTACAAAATAATCTATTTTCTTAATCATTAAAATATTTTTAACGCATCCAATCTCTTCAGCTATACATATATCCTTTTATTTCTCGCTCTCTCTCTCTCGTTCCAGCATCTTCAGCCTTAGAACGTCTATAGCTTGAACGAGTGTTTATTTACCTATTGTACTTCAGCCTCGTTTAAAAACCTATTGTTGTTGGCTTCATATGTCACCTTATCATAACAGTTATTTTTTATCGCTATAAGTATATGTACAAGTATGTAGATACCACTCTATACAACATGTATTGTAGTTATATAAATATATTTTTAAGATTAACTTTAAAAAAATGTTTGTGTGACAATAGGATGTTTGTATATGTATAAGTGTAATATTATTTTTTCTACTATCAGTAAATTGCAAAACTCAAATATAGATTATAGGTTCACCCTATTTTGATGTAAAGAGATCAACTTGGATTCCATACATTGTATAGAGCTAAGAAAAAACGATACATAAATATAAGTTTCACGCTTGTCTTTGACTTCGGGGTTTTCCGAATTAACTTCTCTGTCCTCAAACTGAACTTATAAACTCTTCAAAACTCGTCAAAATATTTCATTATTTTGCCAATCTCTTGCACTTTCTTATGGAGACGACAGTGGAATAATAAAAAAACAGGTTAAAACAAATAACAAAATAGTGATGCGGTGGTATTGCTCTCACCGCATGTCATTGGCATCTTGGCGCCGATCCATAACAAGACTTTTAAACCCAATATTGTAGAAATATGAAAGATAAATGTGTTGTGTTTTATTAAATGTCATTCCTATTACATCACACATTTATACATAACTAATTAACTAAATATTAATATAGAAGGTTGTCACGTTGATGTTTTAAACTTATTGTGTCAAATTGCAAAAATAAAAAAACATTCACGTTTTTGTTGACTAAAGTACTATCCTCATAAAATATATTTTCATCCAAAAAAACGTATTCATTTTTCGTACATAACTTAATAATGCTTTGTTGACAACATAAATATTAATATTATGTACTTATATGTAAATTTAAAAAAACTAGGAGCAATTGATTACAAAAAAAAATTATGACCATGTAGAGACGATCATGAACGCGGAAGCGGTGTAGAGCAAGCAGGTAGCATCGTGGCAGCCGTAGCCACGAGTGCGCCCGCGACTCACTGCTATCGGTCGCTACCGGTATCTTGCCGCGTTATCTCGCGGGCATCTCCGTGGAGGTCACTCGCTGACGTCACCCTGATAACGATTTGCGCGGTGACCTTGTCGCGCGCCAAATCTCAAGGTTTCTGCTATTTGCACAGGCAGATACACTCGAGCCGCCCGCGCCCGCGCCGCAACCCGACCGCTCGCCGATCTGCGTCACCCGGAATTACCATTTTATTAACTATATTATTTGTGGATTGCAGAGGCACGGACGGGTCTTCGTTCTTGAACTTCGTGCGTTCGTTGTTCGTTGAAATTTAATTTTTTTGGAATATTTTCCGTGTTAAATGTGTATAATAAACGTCCCACAATTTTGCTTTATTTATTTAAAATAGATTGACTAGTTCCTGATACAGACAGTCTAAACAAATTAGTTGCCTTGATATTTTTAGCAAAATGCTCGATTGCTTCTGTAGCTGTTCGGTACTGTAAATTTATTGTTAATTTTTAATCTCGGAAACATCTAGATTAGACCTCAAGATGATCACCGGTAATAAACATAAATACGGTAGAGGAGGACGACCTCGTGACAAGTTGCGGAAGTGTCACTTGCAAATTAGTACATCATGCTCAAGGACAAAATTGTCATCAACCAACCGATAATGATTTGCCATAAAAATACGTCACAATAAATCATATTTACGTCCCATTGGAGGAAAATGTTATAAGGACGGATAATAATTATAAATTTTGTATTTAAATCCTACCTATTTATTTGTACCTATATAAAAATAAGTAACAAGTTAAAATCAGTAATGATGGGTCTGGACAACTAGGTATCATTTTTTTTTTTGTAAACACTACGTCACGTGGCGTGAGTAAACGACTACTGTGGCGCGTTACTACTTTATTTGACATGCATTCCGAAGGTTGCAGGCTCGATTCCCACTCAGTGAAAATATTTGTATGCATGAAACTTGTCTGGGGTTTTCTATATTTAATTATGAATTTACAAAGAAAACGCATGTTATCCATATTATTATGTATCTAGGCAGTATTATTTCATCGATCTTTTAAAGAAAAATGTTTGTGATAAGAATTGATTTACTTCGGTAATGCACATACGTCGGGTTTGAACCCATAACCACTTGATCGCAACTCCCATTCCTTTCGCATTACCAAAAAAATACAGTTATGTAGAATTAAAACAAAAATAAAATAAATACATTAAAGTGACTATAAAGATTGTAGAAAATCGCAATTTATTAACATCGCAATATTCAAGGTATTTACTTGCTACATAACATTACATCATGATAGTTTATTTAATGCCTCGTGGCGGGCGATGGCGCGGGTGGGCTGTCGGTCGACACTCAGCGCGACCACAGCCGACGGAGCCCTGACTTCGGCCAATGTCAATGTCACTGTCGAAATCACGCCACGTGCTGTTGCCACATTGTCAACAAAAGCTCATATAAGTACGTATAACAAACTTCTATCGACATATTGAAAAAACCGATTACTAGGTAATTTATAGTGTTACAAACATACAAAAACTAATTTCGATTTAGCTGAAACGTTTGCAAGATAGATTTAGTTTATTACATTTTTTTATAAAAGTTGCGCACCAAAGTGTGCATAGTTTTCTTGGAATTCAATCTTCGCGTGAAAGCTGGAAAATATAAAATGTTTTAGTTGCGTTATATTTAATTTTATTTAGAGGAGACAAAGTGAATTAGTAGTTTACGAGAATTCGTGTTGGTAGAAGAAAAGTTGTCGCTCGAAATTGCTGTGTGGCGTCAGTTACGCAACTCGTGCGCTGCCGCGTGAAGTGTGAAGTTCAATGTCACAAACACACACATGCTTATACATTACTCGTGTACACTACGCTATGTACTACATTTATATACCTACGTAATATATAAAATCTGTACAGTGGTGTGCGTGCGGTAACATGTGAATAACAACAGCCAACCCGTTACTCGCCTCTATCAGCACTTCCTGGAATAATTCGCGAAAATAGGATTAACCTTAGTGCACAGTGCAACATGGATAACGATAGTGTAATTTTGCGCAAGGTCATGGTGAAGTCGTATCGCTATTTCCAGAACGTTTTTTACCCTTTGACAGTCACCTCGTTACAATCGCTGCGCAACAGATGTTTACTGATATTTATAGAACAGTGGTGATCTGTTGTATTTGCAATTCTTGAATAAATATTGATGAAATGTAAATACAACTAAACCCACTCAAGACAATTATAAAGGGACCCAGAAAAACACGCGTCTCAAATAACAATTAATAGAAACAACAATTAATTAAAAAGTTATTACAACCCTATACTGTGTTGTTTTAATTTGTAGTTAGGTTGCTTTCTAATTTTTTTAAATCTTTTTATGATAAATTGGGCGTAAGACAGTCATGGTTTGCGACTACCGCCGCCCATAGACATCTGCTTGACTGATACAATATGTCAATAGCAGTTACGCCCTTTGATTCCCCTCCCTTAGAATCTGGGATGGGTGGGGGTGGGGTTGGTTGCCGTAACCTAACTAATTCGGTAAAAAGCAACGAAAAACTTGCTTAAAACCGGTTTTCTCAACCTGGCCCATTATGCGCCAAAGCATGACTTTTCCAAGATAGTTTTTCTTCTTACAATATAAAGTCAATTTCCGCCGTGGTAGAGCAAAACCCGTGTGTAACAGATGGTGTATTAAGCATTGTGATAAATCGTACTAAGCGTGTAAAAAGTAAGAAAAGTAGCAGTAACGGAAAACAAGATAAATATTACGAGAAGTCTTTTTTGAGGTTCTGTACCTCAAAAGGAAAAAAACGGAATCCTTTTAAGATCACTTTGTTGTTCGTTTGTCAAGACCCTTTACCTCCGGAACACGTGAAGGTATCGAGTTGAATTTACAACCGTACACTCAGGTCTACAGTACATTGAAACTATGAAATGAAAACATACGGCCGTTTATGCTGCAAAAACGCCTGTTTCGACGCTCTCAAGGGAATCGAAATTTACAGGGTAGGTACTTCCCGTTGACCTAAAACTATGAAATTTAGCAAGTAATATTGTCTTATACTAAAAGTACAGGGCAAATATGAAAACTATACATTTGTAGTTATCTTATAAAAAATATAGTCTTTATTTTAAGTACGTAATCAATCATCGAGATACAATTCATTTATAAATCGCAATAGTATAAGTAATTATCGGTTTTGGAAACTGAATTTCGGGCAAACCTCGGCAAATACTGCGAGACTCGATATCTGAACTATTTACAGTATGTGCGTGCAAATACGTATCACATCAACTGCTAAGGTTTTAACATTATTAATAATCATACTGAAATTACACTTAATATATATTAGTTTATCCTTATCAATCGACTCCAAACGAAGGAGGAACTTATCAGTATAAATTAACCCTTTATTACGCTACCGATTTCGGAAAATCTCGCCAAGACGAGCCAAGCGTAGCGCAAGGGCACTACCTAAATTTTTTATGTAGCGTTCCGTCGTTTTTTTTAAACCTCATAGCTTCTCCAAATACTCGCGATATGATGTCAATAGCAGACTTATTAAACATGTTAAGTTTGACTGACTCATTGATGATCATCAAAATTTTTAAGGTACTTTCTGCAGTCCTAGAAAGCTACACAAACAATAAAATATTTTTTTATATATACTTTGGAGCAACGTATTCTGAGTAAGGTGTAGAGTTTGTGAAGTTAGGGCTTGTAGATTTGGGCGTATAGATTTATGTAGAAGCTTGGCTCTACATTAGATCTGATAACTTTTTACCGGTGCAAGCCATGTGGACTCATCTTGGCAACATTTTACATAAAAATGTGTTGTTGGGATTTTTTTTCGTTTGAAAAGTTTTCTAATTGGTCTCATTACTTACTCATATTTTATTGCTCTCTTTCATTTACCTTTTTTTTAAATCAATTATTATGACGTAGTTCTCAAATATGTATGGTATGTAAAAACCACTTAGGAACATTTACAGTACACACAGACATTTTACGTTATAAAAATAAACTAACAAAATATAACTACGTTCGTAATGCCCTTGTCTAACGATACTTGACAGTACAGGCAGAGGGCGAAACGAAGGGCACGCCGCCCTCTTAGGTCAAGGGCGATTGGTCTTACTGACCTACATCCTCGATAATACGCCCTTAGAAGGTCACAGCGGCATCAGTCCTACATGCTTAGTCGACCGTTTTTATTATACTATTTTTAACATGACCACAAAGTCTTTCAGTTTAGTTACGATGTGTAATGTTTCATTTGTTGAAAAATCACCCAATATATAGTAACTTAGTTTAGTTTATTCTGGGCGTTGAGAATATGTCATGAACTGTTAAATTAAATTATAGAAAAATATGTTATTGAAATGGTTGCAGTATTATCACTAAAATTTAAGAAAGACAACTGATATTAGAAGGGGCTATCTATTAATTGATTTGTGTTATAGAATCAAAATAGCCATACCATTTTTTTTGTAAATAGTAGAGTAGTAGAGCCGGAACCCACACAGTAGAACAATTAAGTATTAGAATTATTATAACATGGTCTCAATTTCATATTTGAAAGGTCAAGTTGTAGATAATGTAAACTTTTATTTATATTATGAAAAATGTGTCGTCGTTGGCGGTGAAATGACGTATAAAATGTAACAAATTTTAAAAAACAATCCGAACTAAACTTGAGATTCCAAAATTCCATAATCAGTCTCTCGAAAATTCTGATACACAATTATATTTAGCAATGACGGGGGGCAGTGCCCAATCGACACAATCTGCGTATTGCCAAATTAAAACCTGTAAATAGAACATGAGTCGTCTTCTGATTGAGGATAACGTTTTGTTGCGGACGTATTTTATTAACACTGACATTGCGGTAAGTAATAAAAAATAGGTACTGATTGTTATAAATAATTTATTGCCATCAGTAACTTACAAACAGAAGTACAAAAAGAGTCACAAACTCTACACCTTAGTTAAAATATGTGGCTTGGCCGTTTCTTTACTACAAATTGCATGTGCATTTAATTGAAACCATTTTGGTGCGTCTGTCTGCCTATTTGTTTATAATAATATCCGAAAGAATTAGGATGATTTTCACGTGCCTTTTACTACTACACTGTAACAGGACTGTGACTATTTATAAAAAAAAAAAACAATAAAATTGATTCAGTTCTTGCAAAATGCCATCCATCGGTGTGAGCTTAAATACATTACTTTTGCCGCTATATTTTTATCTATACAAGTAAATATAATTATAGAGCGGCGGCCTACATGGCTAATACATTATAAGCATCAAATATATGTACATATTATTTACTTTAGACTATAGTTGGAAAAAACAAATCCTAAAATCATAAATATTAGCATATGATTTTATGTTCAACTAGCACCTAGCATAACCTGGCCGAAAGGTCAAGCAACTCAAAGGTATGTAATATGTGGCGTTAATACCCGAACTGGTAATAGTATTGAGATCGGTAATTTTGTGAAACCCATACAACATTATTATTATTTATTTATTTTTAGCCTGTATTGTCCCACTGCAGGGCAAAGGCCTCCCTCTCTCTCTTCCACATCTCTCTGCCGTGTGCTAGTTCGGACCAGTCCTTTCGAAAGCCGTCGATATCGTCCCGCCATCGTCGCCTGGGCCTACCACGGTGTCGTTTAGCGCCTTGTGGGACCCAAGTGGTGATAATTTTTGCCCATAGATCGGCATGCGGCAAACGCGCCCAGGCTCATTTGAGTGGGGCGGCTTTATGAGTGACATCTGCGATTTGTGACTTGGAGCGTAGTGCTGTATTTTTTATTCGGTCTGTCAGCCGTACGCCCAGGATACTACGCTCCATGGCTCGCTGGCAAACCTTCAGCGCGGACCTATGCTGTCCAGTCAAAGACCAAGTTTGTGCACAACAAACATGTATGCAAAATTTTCTTCACTAAATAGTCAAGGCGTGAAAGCGTAACAAACAAACGTGCTCACTTTCGCATCTATAACATTACTTGAAATAAATGTTGATCTCGTTTAAAACTCTTGTCAGTCTAAAGATGTCCCGGAACTTTAGTTGTCGGTATCTTGTACAATCCAATCGGCCCGACCCCTTGGCGCTAAGTAGAGATGTAGCTTCACTCTACATTCTCTATCGTATTTATCGTGGAGAGTGCTCCGGGAAATTGTTCGGACTAATACCGGCTGCAACTTTCCGCCATCGTTCCACACGACAAAATTTTCATGCCCGGACCGATACGCCCTTTAAAACTTCAAAAGAAGAGCATATTCCTTCGTAAAAGGCCAGAGTTGCAGGCGTTCGTGGGCGGCGGTAGTCACTTTCAATCAGGTGTCCCATCTACTCGTTTGCCCCCTTTCCGATAACAAACAAAAAACTTCGGTCAAGCCGATATGTGCCTAAGCATGACTCTCCTACGAAAGATTTCCTTCTCCTAATATTACGTGAACTTTCCGTCGCGTAGGAGAACACGCATGAGTCACAGATGGCGTAAAAACAACATAAATACATTACGAGATAAATACAGAAAAAGATAAATACATTAGTTATATGTAATGGCTTTCATACACGCGAAGTGACGGGAAGTAGCCCGCGCAAAACTAATTTCTTTTTTTTTGTGCGTGTGGAAAACTCTTCGCAACGTCACTCCCCGCGGGTGTATGTCGTACTTAAACCGACTAAAACTATGTAATATGTTAAATAGTACCTAAAATAGGAGCGCTACGGAAACTACTTTCAACAACAAGAAGGATCCCTCCCGCCTCTGACGTAAACTATCTCGAAACCCGGAATCCCGAAATTGACGATATTTCGTATACCCTAGCTATACATAATGTCTTGGTTTCACACTTACGTTTTTAGGTATGTAAACTCCATTGTAAATGAATGAAAGAACATATTAAAATTGACAATTTGCACATGATTAACATAACATGTGTCACCTTCACCTATTTTACTCGTACAGTCTGCATTTTCAGTCATATTAATTTTGACATTATGAGGTCATCATAAGTCATCTAAATATATACCTACCTATAGAAAAAAAATGCCAATGAACACATGTATACAAATTAGTTTTAATAAATAAAATTGAGGAAAGGTATTTTATCGGGTTGAGATTGATCCAGAGCTAACCTTTTAACCAAGTACGATACCGCTGTATTTCAAGTAGAGCCAACATAGATGATACACGAACTTTTTATGTTTAATTTATAATGTGCGGCTCAGTACTATAAATAAATTCTAATTCTTCAAATAGAATTTTAAGAATGAAAAATTAATAAAATGGATTAGTGAGTGGAACACATATACAATAATCAACCGTGAATAAAGACAAGTATTTAATAATTGTGGTAAATAAAGGCACTTTCTAGGAATAGCAGATCAAGTATTTACATCTCTCTCTCTACTCGCTTTTACCTACTCTACCGACCGCTCTAGGCACCATGCCTGTGCAACAATACACGCACGTGCACGTGCAGGTTTGTATGTTCGAGAATACAATATATTTTTGTTTTAAACCTGTTTATCTTTTTTAATTGTAATTTTTTTTAAAACATTTTGAACAACGACTCCTTATTTAAAATATTCGGCTTCCCACATTAAACTACCTGCCTTCACGAACTACTACTTTTACATTTTCTTTTTTTTTATTCCAGAAAACAGTTTAATATGAGAATTGCGATGATTAACAAGAAATACAATATATCGGTACAACAAAAACATAAAGGTTAAAACAGAAACGGCATGAAGACATTAATTAATACTAATACGCAATTAATTTGAGTGGTATTAACTAGGTATTGCGAAATGAATAACATGTAGGTCGCGTTGGCAGTTTTTACTACAATACTTATTATGTTTGCAGACAATACTGGCTTGAGCGACCCCGCGATGACCTTGTCGCGACCTTACCCCCAGTGCCTCCTCACGCACCCGCGCCCTACTCTCTGTGCACCCCTACCAGGACTCCATGTTAGCTAAGCAACCTTGGAACAATCAGGGAAGCGTCTTCAATAGATTTAATTCGAAATTTGTGGCTCAGTTTACATTTACACTTCAAACGAATTTGGAATTCATGAATATTTTACAGATATCAAATATTTTGCCAAAGTAAGTATAACTACCTATTTAGCTTTGTTTCACGAAAACGCAAATGTAAAGTTGTAAAAATATTTTACTGACTGGTATTGGTAAAAGGAAAGTTATTATATTATAAAATACCTCAAAAAGCAACCCACCCCAAAATTATTTCCTACTTTTTAGTTCTAGCTACAAGTAAGTTTATCACATATGCTTCAGCACACGCCTTAGGACGTGGCAAAAGATACTACATTATTTTTAGGTATGAAAAAATCAACAAAAAAACAACACAAACTATTAAAATTATTTAACTTATTGCATTGTCATCGGTCCTTGATAAGTGTGCAAAGCTTCAATGAAATTGGACGTTTTCAAGTGGGTCAAAATCATGTTCGAAGATTCCATTACATACATACATACAAACTAATAAAAGCGTAAGCATATTTTAGCGTGTTAAGAATGATTTAAGATAAGGTAGAATTTTTACTATTATTAAATTGTGAGATTTGAAACGTCATAGTTAGCTCGCGACTATGCTCGTATGCTCATCTGTCAAGGATCACGGGCTCAGCGGTTCGGAACACGAAAATTCATCAATGGATAGAAGTTTAGTAAGTACTCAGTGAGTGTTGTCACTTCAAACCATGTTACCAAAAATTGCGTCAAAGAGTACCGTGTCAGTGTTAAACCAAATCAAGAAGTACATAGATAAATTTCACTTGGTCCAGGTTTCTGTAACCTAAAGAAGCGACACTAAGCCGTCGTTTAATTTTATATTAATCTTAAATTGGTTTACGAGAAATGTATGCAAGTTACCTTGCAATGTTCCAAGCTCGATTGAAGAATTTTAAACATGGAAGTATCGTGATCTGCGTCAAACTGCCAACTTCTAGAGCGATTCCACGCTTCACACTGGTTTAAAGAGTGTTGTCAGGCACCTATTTTACGGTGTTCTTCCGTCTGCCATTGTCAATAGTAGAAATATCAAGTTTTATTCTGTCACTTCGCTACTTCCTTAATGTGGGCAGACGCCATCTGACTCTAATCTCGGTAATAGCATAAAACAAAATGATAAAAGTACTTCCGTAACTAAAAGCACGAAAAGCCTTGTGTCAAACCTTAAATCATTTTATGTGCCTAGTCAATATCATCATTTTAGCTTGACCCATATAAAGTACTTTACTTACACAGACATAGCCACTATAATTGAAAATATGTGTTACTTTTTGTCAATTCTATGATAAGACATTTTCGCATTTACAGTACATATAAGTACGGATTATATTGAAGTTGCTAATAATGCCATGTGAGTCGTAAACATCAACCCATTTTACTTTCAGCTTGTCCTTAATCCATCGCGTTCATATGACCTCATTCCCGTCTGAAATACCTAAACATGAAGGCCATTAAGGTTGGGTAGGCTTTTAAGGACCCACACAAAGGCTTTTTGGGTCACTCAAATATTGAGGTCACCTCAATATTCGTTAGATTAGTTCTAGAAAATGATAAACATTCATAAATATATAAACCAATTTTACATATGTATTTATTTAATTAACGATAACGATTCGATGAATAATATAATATAAATTTATATTATTTAAAGTTAAAATTGCAAATGATATTTTAAAATAGAATGTTATCAATGTACATTTCGAAAAAGATATAATTGCTTTCTGCCCGCCAAAATGATTCACTCACTTTTGAGAGAGAGAACAACAATGGAAAACAAAGGAATTTGATACTTCTGAAGTTATGTTACAAAAAAAAGAAAAAATGTGACTCAAGCGGTGAATAAAAAACTGTGACTTTTATGGACCCAACAGTGTGTCAGTATGAGTAGCACAAAGTTGGTTCAAGGGTTTTAGTCTGGAAATATTGATGTCAAAATTGAAACCTATTCTGGTCGTCCTCATATAGATAAATTCGATGCCATTATTTAAAAAATAGAGCATATGAGTAGTTACAACATAGCCGTGGAACAGAGGATTAACCACAAAACAGTCAACATAATAAAACCGAACCATTTTTAAGCAGGTGATGAAAACTAGATCACCTATGACAAAAACGAGCGAAAAAGGTCATGGTCCAAGGGTAGTCAAGCACTTCACAGACACTAGCAAAACACACTTTATTTTATTTTATAAATCTAGAATATATTTTTTTCTAGTTTATTTAATTTGCCCTGTAAAACAGGCAATACAGGTTATAACGTCACAAAAGTGTTTCTATGAATGGCATAGAAAACAATAACTCATAGGGCTTAAGCTAGATAGGGGTAAACCAGCCAGATTTTTTTAACGAAATGCAACATTGATTTTAAAAATAATTTAATCTTATTTTTAATGTTTTATAAAATTATTTCGTTTTAAGCTTCTTTTATTTTAAAATGTCATACGTATATTGGTCATGCGCCTACAGTAAGACTATAACCCAAGGGCTTTCTTTTCTAAAGGGCTTTACTTTCTAAGGTATAGCTGGACTAAAAAAGAAAAAATAATGTATAGTTTAAAAAGACTAAAAAAATACGCTTTTGTAGCTAGCCGAACTAAAGAGTAGGAAATCATTTTCTATAAGTTTAAAAACAACAATCATTAATTGTTAAAAAGCGTGGGGTGCTTTTTAAGGTATTTTATAATATAATAACTTTACTTTTGCCAATATCTGTTAGTAACATATTTTTACAATAATTGAGATCTAGCATTTTTTTTAAACTATAATTTATTAGAGATGCAGACAAAGTTACGCGGGTCAGCCAGTCGTAAATATTTATGCATGTAGAACATAGCGCATATGGTATATTCATATAAATGTATGAGTATATTAACATTAATACATAATATTACCTTTTATATTAGAATACAATACGGTTTCATTGAAAGGACACCTTGAAATACTTCAATTATTATTTTCATTAATGTATGTAAACCATCAAATATCCAAGGCTGAGGACGAAAGTTAGGTATTCCTTACGTAATATTTTTATAACTATTTGGGCTTGTGACTTCTTACGCGCAGATTTGGTGGGTTTGGTTTGTATAGGCATTATTTTAAGTTTGATCAATTTTAAAGCTGGCAGAGCACCAGCCTGGAGCACTTCTGAGCCGGCAGTGAGTTACGTAATGTTGTATCAACTGCTACTACTACTAGGTGGTAAGGTTGCAATTACGTGATGTCTTTGTCACTATTTCTTTAAATATAACTTTGCCTTCTTATCTTTGTCTGTGTTTCAGTAAAAAATGGGAGTATCATATTACTATAAAATTACTAATATGATCCCCTCCAAATTACTAAAATGATCTTCATGGACTTGAAATGCCATATTCATAAACCACGTCTGCTATTGTGAGCAATTTCCCCAAAGCAGTGTGTACGCTGGTTTACAAAACTTAGGACACCAACTTGTGAACTTTTAACAATTACCTACTACTAGTAGTTTGAGTAGTTTATTTCAAGATGGCAATTTTAATAAGTTAAATAAATTTTAGGTAATGACTATATCGTCATAATCGTAGAATAATGTCGGTTTTGAAAAAAATACGAAATTCAGTTTTTACCATATTTAGATACTACATTGTCTTTTTTTTATAGCATAAGGGGGCAAACGAGCAGACGGGTCACCTGTTGGCTAGCAACCACCGCCGCCCATCTACACCCGCAACTCAAAAGTCACAAGTGTGTTGCCGCCCTTGTAGTCCCTCCCGCTTTAGACAGCGGGAGGGTGGATTTGGGCTCCGGTAACCTCACTCACTCAGTGAAAGGCAACGAAAGAATTGCTTAACACCGGTTTTCTGTGAGGCCGTGGTATTACTCCGGTCGAGCCGGCCCATTCGCGCCGAAGCATGGCTTGCCCACTAATGTCTAAATATTATTACTACATTCAAGAAAAAATTATATGTATTCTAGATTTTAAATTATTCAGTCGGAAAACTTACGGATTGAATAGGCTTTCAAAGGAAAATGAAGCATACATGAATTTTCACTTGAACGCCAATTTTTACAATTACAGATTATTATTACAGACAAAAAAAGTTATGTCAAAAAACTAACATAATTATTTGAAATGGCTGCCCTGTAAAGTTCAATAAATGTCAGATCCAACACTATTCTACAACTATGACGATATATTTACAATTAAATATCGTTTAAACTGTAAAACAATAAGCTGTATTTAAAAAAAAATCGATATGGTATTTTTGCTACATACGTACATACAGATAGACAATCAAATATAATTGTTAATTTTAATTTATGTATAAAAATCTATTCATTTATAATTGTAAAAAATGTATTCTCTTGTTTAGATAACATAAGCTTCGAATAGCATATAAGTGCGTCATTAGTATATAATTCACGCGTAATATGCAAATAATATGAGATCTTAAAGTAAAGTCAAATAAAAATGTTTTGTAACGAATGGAACTATCCCGTACACGTGGAAAATATTACATTCTTCCTCACCCTCAATGTGACTTTTGACCTTTTCTGATGCCGCCCACCACTTTATAAAGTTAATCTGTAGGAGTCTTGGTACATACGTAAACAAAGTCTTATCGGGAAATATGATTGATTTTATGTGACAAAATAAATAGAAATCTCTTTGTTAAACTTTGTTAAACCTGATCTTGCGTCAATCAAGTAATTATTTTAAATAAAATGCCTTCTTAAATTTATACCGCAAATTGTTGGCCAAGGGCATACTTTAAACCCACGTAGCAAGAAGAGTGAAAATTGAGATCTACCGAACGGGCTCCTAGAATTTGTTTCATTAAAAACGACAATTGACTCGACCCATACCAGACCACACACAAATTGTATTCTGTTACCCACCAACTGAAAGAGTTTCTATTACAACTTACATATATAACTTCAGATTCACAACACATAACGACACTGAGACAGAAAAGTATCCGACTACACAGGTAATTTTGAACCGTCGATTAAATTGTCAATCCAAATTTTTAGCCGGGTATAGTAAAGACAGCTGATAATATAAATATATTATTTAATTATTGATTTGAAATAAATAACTCCATTTCTTTTTAATTGGTGTAAGTGGCCACAGCTAATATTTATAATTAAATCACATGGTAAAATATACGCATGTCGAATACATTACGCATGTAGGCGTCAAAAGCTTATGTCTGTTTTGAATGAAAAATATCAATGTTAATTTGTCATTTATTTGAATAATAATCATCAAGTTAATGACTTAGATAGATAATAAAAAAATCGAAAGGGTTTACATTGACCTGTATTTTTTTTTATTCAACATGCTTTTATTAGCTTGGCATGTATGTAACGGAATCTTCGAACTTGATTTTGATCCACTTCGAATTAACTTGAAACTTCGCACTCTTATCAAGGACCAATGACACTACAATAATTTGATAAATTGGGCCGTAATCCGTTAATCCTGAAGATCCTGATCAGGAATTAGCCTGCTCAGGATCTTCAGGATTAACGGCTTTTCCATACCTAAAACTACGGTAGTGTCTTGCCAAGTACTAAGAGACATGTGCTGAAGCACATGTAACTTACTTACTTGTGAACCACTTCTAAACGTAGAAATAAATTGAAACTTCGCATACTTAAATAATTAAATAAATTGGGTCGATTATCCTGATAATCGACCCAATTTATTTAATTATTATATTATCCTTGATAAGTATGCGAAGTTTCAATTTATTTCGACGTTTTGAAGTGGCCGAGTTTGGTATTAGATTATCCTGAAAGCCGCCCCAATTTATTTAATTATCATATTATCCTTGATAAGTATGCGAAGTTTCATATGTAGCTAAAGACACTACGGACCTTTTAAGTATGGAGAAAGTCGTCAATTCTGATGATCCTGATCAGGCAGGATCATCAGAATTAACGACTTTCTCCATACACAACACACAAACCGCAGTAAAATTACCAAACACATATGGTTACTATAAAAATAAAGCCGTTTGAAATTTATTTTCTATATTATTCAAACATGTAATAACATTTCCTACATTAAATTAATTGAAGGAACCTATTTTAATTTGATGTTTTGTCACAATGGTGGCGATAGAAGTTATAAAAGATTCTTGTGTGTAAGTGCCCATCAATCAGTATCCACATACAACGTATTACGTATATAGCCGAAAAAAAGCATTAAGTATTTATACAATTATTTCTCCGGAACGTGGATAAAGGTCACGTCCCACGCAAATCTAGGGTGTTATCGGGTGTGAAGGGTGTAGGCGCGGGGAGGTGGTCGGGCACGCGCGGGCACGCCGACCTTGCCCGGCTGTGACTCTGCGACCTTGGAGCAGAACGTCCGCGCCGCGCGCCCCTCTTTCCACCCCGCAGCTCCCTCACTTCACCACCCCAAAACCCCTGTTACCACCACCGCACGCCCACGCTCACCCGCCGGCCCCTATCTCCTGGTCGCCCACGCTCCTTACCTCGTGCAAAATTTAATACCTACCTACATATCACTGCAAGTGCTATAACAGACACGGAAGTAATAATAATCACTCTTTAGTTTGCTGTCACATAATAATTTCGTGGAAGGCATCGAAATAATGTGTGACAGTCAAACTTAAGGAGTTCTGACTAAAGTAAGTGTTCCAAGTACTCTGTCTAATATGTAAAATTATATCTGTGTTATCGATTGACTTCGCTGATTATTAGGCGGCCATTGTGTGGCAAGCCCTAAAATCTACACATATACATAATGTTGTTATATCGAATGATAATAAATAAATACAAGTGTCCTGTTTCCGCGTGTACCGAGGCCCGGCCCGGGATCGACCTTGCTCCACAAGGTCGAGGGAGCCATATTCGGGGCTTTCCGTGTACCGCCTGAAGGTCTGTGACATTGAATATTAGCAGCACAATGAAGATATTCTGTATAACAATGTCACCAGGAACAACGTGTTTATTTGTATACTCAATATAACAATGACATAATTGACAACATTTTCAAGGATTATAGGCATTAAGATAACCAAAAATGTTTTATGCTTAAATATGTATTGGCACAGCGACTGTTTTATTCTGTAGAATTCATAGAATGTTGACAAAAATTATGTTTTAAAAGTATAATGTTAAAAATACATAATCTATAAATTAAAAATTCAAAAAACCCACGCATCTTGGATTTGAAATTTGTCATGGTGTAAATTATTCTACTAGTGAAGTTCTTTCATGTGAGACCTATATTGAGGGCGTTGTGAAAAAATATGTAATTTGTGGCAGCGGCCATCTTGGACCGATTTTCATCAAACATAACTAGAACACTCTAGACTAATTCACCTTTCAAACACAAAAAAATCAAAATCGGTTGATCCGTTCAGGAGATACGATACCAGAGACAGACATACACACACATAGACAAGTCAAACTTATAACACCCCGTCGCTTTTGCGTCGAGGGTTAAAAACTTTACTAATTTGTAGTGTACCTATCCGTGTGGAAACGTATTAAGAATACGTGTTGGTCACCACCTGTATTCATCCGTAAGAGTGTCGTGTGTCGTAAGAGCCAACTAAGGGAGTAAATACGCACAACAATAGCACTAAAATAGAAGGAAAACTTGACGCAAACCCTATACCAATACGTCTGGCCAACGTAGTACTCGTACAGTAGGCCAAACGTGAAAGTTAAAATGTGGAGTGGACTATTAAAGGGTGTTGATGTGATGATGCGATGTGATAATATTTTAAAGAATAAGAATTAACTTAACTTTTAAGTATAATTCGGTTATGATAGTAGAAACCCACTTAGTGCCCTTAATCCAGTAAGCAAATTCTATGGTAATGAAAAAGCTCTTCATAATATCAGGGTAATATATACCTATTATAAATTTACTAAGAATAGTAACAATGTAATATCACAGGTTTAAAATCTAGGTAATTTACACAGATTGACACATCACCCTTATAATCGATAATCGAAATTATATTTAACATAAGGTTGCAATAATTCTCTAGTTAGAAGTTGGATTAAAAACTTTTATAGATAGTTTATAGATGCTGTGATATAAACGATGGGTGAGCCAGAGAAGTTGTAGGGTGAGGGAAGGCCGGGGTTACGCGTGGCAGAGATCGAGCGGACGTTGCATCGACATCGCTAGAGTCAAGTGCATGGCCGGCGCCGCGCCGCATTGCGCCGGTGCACCCGCGCCAAATGTCATGCGCCCACCGCGACTGGTCAATAACATCAAATATCCCCACTATCTTGACCATTTCCTACTTTTAAAGGAAAATAATTTCAAATAAATAAACTGTTTTATGTGTATCAAAATGGAGTCATAGGGAAATATGTTAAACAGAGGATTACATCACAACATACATATTTCTTTTGTTTAGAAATATTTTAAATTGGAAGTGGAAAATGGGCTCAAGCGGCGATGGGGAACGCGGTCGCAAATTCCGCTTTTTAATTAATTTTATTTATTATATTAAGCGGTATGTTGGAACCACAAATAATGAAATGTCTGGCGAAAGTGCATATGCTTAATTTTAGGTATTTCATTCTTGAAAAATATTATGTTGCACGAACTCTCCTAAAACATAAGCTTTGTTTATTCAATTATGTTAAACAATCTACTTAAACTAAATTAAACTCTATGTACGTCATAATATATTGTTTTATTTTTATTGATGCCTTTTGTTCTTATTTTTATTCAAGTGACAACAAGTAGCAAGTAAACGTTTGCATTCAACTTGTTTTTATTATTATTAATATGGTCCTACGAAATCATTTGTAAGAACTACTATATAATATCCTTATATTAAATATAATTTTAGAAAGTAAAAGAAAAGATGTATAAAGAAATATGCTTATCAACATTAGGGTCAAATAAAATCTTAAACTAGTTAATGTAATAAGGTCTATTAACATTTTCCCGGAAAAAAATTAAACTGATCTACTTAAAACATACAGAATCGTACGGTTGCGTAACATTCGAGATTTTAATGATTAGTGTCTATATTTGTAATCATCAAATGGAGTTCTGACGTTGCTAATGACAATATATTTATCGAGCTATTTCTGAAGTAATGTATTTATATCATTTGTTTAACTTCTAAATAAGTTGTTACTAATAGCACGATAAAAACCATACTGGGGATTTATTTTATTTTTACTTTAGATACTCCCGAATGACTACATTCCAACTAAGAGTCGTCGGTACAAACTAAAGTGATATCGATGTGCTCGAGATAATTTTATGAATGTACTCGAGGGTAAAGGATTATACCAGACTCGAACTCGACTAAACCCTAAAACCACACGGTGTTGAAATTCTTTCCATTGCTAGGGACCCTAGACCGGGATACCCTAACAAAGAAGCTATTAAAAACCCATAATCGCTTAGACTACCTGATCAGAAGACGACAGTGCCGTAGAGAACTAATTCTCCTCGAGGTAAGAGAAACGCGCGGAATACGTGAACTACCATCTCAGACTTGCAAGTGTAACGTGAGCTCGACCCCATGAGTCCGCGCTTATGCAGGTCGGAGATCATTCTGAGTTCTTCAGCCCCTAGTGAAGGGAGAGCTCATGTCGTATGTGCCTGGTTACGTTCCGCAGCTTTTTTTGACCAACATCAACTCCTCGCAAAACTAAATGGTGGAAATCCCACCCACTCACTCACTGAACTTGGACAGAATCATGGTCGAGAGAGAGAGAGAGTCTACCAGAGCCAATTTAGTGAGAAGTGCAGTGTTCTCATCACAGCCTCACGCCAGCGGTGCACTAAGGCGTTGGCTTCGGCCTATACACGTAATATTACAGGTAGTATCCGGTGAGCATTTGTGTGACCCGGTAGGAGAGGCTGCATTGTCGCCTGTCTAGCTCTCATGATGAGTCTTACCGCTATGACCTTGTGCTTGGTCACTCTAGTAGTTCTTTACACTCTGTTATTAGGACCTGACGGAACTGGGACGAACGCGTAGCGCTTTGCTTTCTCGAGGTCTCAACTCAATTTCTAGCCCCTCCGTTATTATACCGAAGCCTTACCTTTGGTATAATAACAGCACGGGCTTCAGTAGTTATTCCCATAAGATAGAACCTTATACTTACTTATAATAGCCTTCCTTTTATATCTGAGCCATCGCCCACTGTAGCTCGAGCTTTTGCGTAACAATCCAGCCATATTTTTTTTTTAAATTACCCTCAATTTTCCCATTTTATTACTAAAGTACCTATTTGATGGCAGTAGGCTACATTAGTTGCCGTATATTATAGTTAGCAATTATGAGTGTTAATTCACACACATACATAAATATTCATGTCGAAATAATCCTCCTTTCCGGAGGTAAATTCACTATTGTATATTTAAGAGTATGTATAAAAGTCTGTCCATGTGGTGACGGATTAATAATACGGAGTGTCACTACCCCTATTTATCCCGTGGGTGTCGTAAGAGCCGACTAAGGGAGCAAACTACGCAGGACAACAGCACTACAAAGAGAAGGAAAACTTGAAACAAAGCCTATACCAACCCGTGTGGCCAGCGTGGTATAGTAGGCCAAAACCTCCTTTCTAAGGAGAGTCCTATGCCGAGCACTGGATTATTAAAGGCTGTTGATGGTGATGATAAAAGTCTACACAAATAAAAGTTTTTGATGGTATTTATCTCAAATAATAGGTTTCTATGAAATTACGCTTGATTACTTGATAATAATACTTCCGTGAGTAATGAAACAGACCTAGCCAACAGTTAGAAGTAAATACCTTGAACAAATATTTTTATGATGAATGTATGGCATTACAGTAGATTTACATTAGATGTGCCTTGAAGAACACGGAACGTTTCAGATGGTCATCAGACGTGGAAGCGGAAGCGATGTCGAGCGCTGCACGGTATTGACGGGTCGTCGACCGTACCGTGCCCTTGCCTTTTTATGACCTTTGTCAATAATATGGCTGACTCTTATATCCGGGCGTTCTGATATATTTGATAGTGTAGTAGCTTTATGCGGATGTTCTGTTATAGCTACAGCTAAAGAGTAGCTCCTTCAAATCAACATACGGAAACGTTGTTTTCATTATTATAATAGTTTTTGTGTTGTGTTTGTTGTTTCAGTATTACAATGATAAAAACGACGTTCTACTGTTGAAGTATTGTTATTCTTCAGCATTAGAGAAGTATTCCTGTGGCACAGGTTTTTGTAACATGTAGTCAATAGACACAGAGTACGCCAGAGAACAATTATCTATTTCACACAGAAATTGGTGTTTGACGTGGGGATCGAACCCATAGAAGTAGAAGCTTAAATTATCATCACTGTCATTCTTACAGAATGTCATTTATTACTTTCTTAATATCTCATTCTGTTTTCGGCCTTGTATAATGTCTCTCCTGTTTTTTATTTTGTAATGTTACAGTGTCACAGTATTAATGATGGCAACGAAAACCACTTAACACATATCCATTTAGTGTTCCGAAAACAAATCAGTTAACAATTAAAGTTTGCTAGAACTTGCCCCTTCTACAGAGGTAAACTTATATGTAATTCAGTCTTGAATTTTAAGCATACTTTGTTTCGGTGGTTTGTTAATAAGATTATGTCTATGTGCTGGGCTACTTTCGTGGCTGGCAGTAAACCATGATTTTATATTGTGATTGTATATATTTTGTATGCATATTTCAGCTGTGTCGGGATTGTGGAATAAAATATAGAGTAATTTTTACAAGATTCTTTTATTTTAGTCGACAACCTGTCATTATATTAACAAACAAATGACTGAGCACGCTCACATACGCACATACAATACACACACAAACACACCGCGACCGGCGCTGCATTGCATTTATAAATTACACTTATATAGTCTTAAATTATTTTTCAGTCTATTGCGCTCTCCTCTTCAGGCGCCGGCCACGCAATTACGCGTCCTAATCAAATTATCACATATAATATATTAAAACGATCTGCGAACGATTACTATTAACTAGTTTATTTAATTTAAAGTAGGTCGGGGTGGGGTGGCGGAGACAAGTGGCTCCGCGGGCCGGTCTCACGCCTCTAACATTTGAGGCATGAAGGAGCGCGGCGGCGAAGGCGACTTCTTGGAGAGGTTGAGCGGCGCGTCCGCGTCCGACACGTCCACCTGCAGCGCCATGACGGGCGCCGGCGCTGGCGATGCGCCGCGATAGCACGACAGGAGCCCGCCTGTGCGCATGGGACAGCCTTCGCCCGCCTCGCCGCGCCGCATGTACTGCTGGATGATGTCCGTCCGCTTTAGCTGCTCAGGCGTCATGCGAGGGCCCTCCATCAGGCTCTTGGCAAGCACGGAGTGCGTAGAGGAGAGCGAAGCGCGTAGAGGACGGGGTGAATGCGCAGGGTGCGCAGGGCTTGCAGGATGCGGGTGTTGTGGCATCGCAGACGGCATAGGTCGCACTGGCCGCGCTTCAGCTTCGCCCGTATCGCGCCTCATCGCGCGGAATTTCTTATGAGGTTTGTACGCTTCGTCCATTAGTGACGTGGTATGGTACAAGGGAGGCGCTTCCAGTACGCGCTTGAGCACAGGCATATCGTCAGCCGACGCTGGTGGCCGCCTGTCATCTGTGTGCTCTTCCAGGGAGGATCGTGGACTCGAACAGCCTGAGCCAGGACCAACTATTCTTTCATGCTTTTCATTTCCTGACTCAATACCGGAGTCTGTGGGCGAGTCTAGTTTTCGGTAGCGCGGTGGCGGGCGGACTGGTGTGACGGTGAGCCCATTGTGTGCCAGGTGCGCCACACCGAGAGCTTCTTCGTCGACAGAGCCTCGTGAGTCCAGGCGACGGCGGCCAGCAAGAGTGGCAGCTAGTAGGGGTGTTCCGCAATCGCCCAGGGCCTCGCCTGACTCGCTGCTCGAAACTGATCCGATAGGGCTGCGTGCTGACTCGTCTGCGCCAGAATCTGCCCATAAAACACCTTCTTCATCGTTCCACATTTGCTGCCTTAGTAATTCTTTATGTTCAGTACGAAAAACTACTAGCTTTTCTGTATGAAGTGTGCTAAGGGTGCGTAAATCAGGAAGGGTGTCCATTAATTCCCTAAGGAAGCCTGGTCGGTCAGACCTGTTCTGCGCGATCACCGTTTGTAGACAGGCCTTGAGCCGCGCGTGCATTCTTTCCACTAGCTCTACATTACGGAGTCCTGGCCGATCTGGTGTGATGAGCACTATTGCGCAGAAAAGACCGATTTCCGCGTCAGTTAAGTTCATAGAATTCATACGTTCAGCAAACTTAAATGTTGAATCAACAAGGAACCTCGCATTGGCGCCACTTTGGATAGAGTCTCGTTTCATGACTTGACCGTTGAGACAAATTATACTATCGAGTGGCGCGTCAAACATACAGATTAACCGCACAAATAACGCATCAAATAGTCCACTTTTGAGCAACGTGAATTTGTCATCTTGTGTTAGCAGCTGGAAGCCAGGGATAAGCCCAGCAAAGTCTATAACACCACGAATCACGTGCGCAAACCGCTGAGAAAATTCTTTCTCAGATTGTAGCTCTGGTGCCGGGTTTAGAGGACAAGCCTACAACAATAGAAAATACAAGTTAATTTTTGTTATAAACTCTCATTAGTCACTAAAAGTCTTTAATATTAATTACATTTCTTATACGGAACAAATGGAGAAGCATACGTACCAGAGTAGGTTGTGAGTAGGTGGGACAGTCGCGAGCACGAGCACGCATGGCAGCAACGCGATCCCGCGTGAACTCGCAGGTATCGAGGTGAGCACGGACTACTCGCGACAGCAACCGTGGGGCATCGTCCAATTCTGCTGCCGCTGCCTGCTCGTTTGCTCGCGAGGTAGACGATTGTTGCATCGCTGCTAGGATGCGCGCTTTCTCGCGCTTTGGAACACGTCCGAATCGCACGGCTGTAACAAAAAGAGAAAATGTTTAGTACATGCACAATCCGTAAGATTGACCTCCGGAGCTTGAATAATAAAGCGGACATGCTATGAAGGTAACTAACAACGGGAATGTTGCGCAAGGTCGTGACTAAACATACGGCGGGCTGCAGCTGTCGCTAAGTGCGCACGTTTGCATGGCTGGCCATGTGCACGCGCAGCTGACGGCGAGAGGGTAGAGTTCATCGGCCGTCGCATCGCTCGACCCACCCTTGTCTGGCGCCGTGAGCCTTTATAAAATTGTCAGAGTCCACTGAATACGACGCGGTTAAGTGAACTAGTTCGAATGACGAGTGACAAAGCGCGAAGTGCGAGGTCACGCTAAAAAGTGTTACAACTTTCTCGCGCTAGGCATGCCGTGAACCAAAATGTAGTATACGCCGGAGGCGCGCTTGGCGCTTGCGGCGTTCATACGCGCGGCTCGGTGAAAGTGTTTGCGTGCACGCCGCATGGCTGAAAACGAAAGCGGAGAGCGCCCTCTCGCCATTTCTCCTGACTTTCGCTGCGCAATGTAGGCCGCAACAGATGCACGATCCCATTGTTCACAACCGTCAAATCTTTTTTATAATTATATCCTTTGTGTTGTATACGGTTGAACGAGTATATATTTTAGTAGTTTATGTCTACAAATACATTTGATCTCATTACATTTGTTTTTATTTTATTCAAAGATATGAGATTCACTAACAGCTATGCTATCTATAATAGATATTTAATTTTGTAAAATTAATCAAAAAGAAGTTAGAAAATATTTTCTTAACCATGACCATAATATGTCTATATTTTGTATATGAAGTCATTATTTTACTCATGCCATTAATTTTTATATTTATTGAAGGAAAAATTTCTTTGTTATTCCTGTAGTACCTACGTTTAATCCCTACACAACCCGGGATAGTTCAGACTAAATATTAATATGTTATAATATTTCAATGGTTTAAGGGTATATAAATATCTCTATAGGTAAACCATTACCATGGTTAATAATGCTGATAGTAAAGATTGAATTTCAATAAGTATATTTGACTGCTGCGGTTTCGTAGAGCTAAGCTACGAATATTTATTAAATGTTGTTGTGTATGATCTACTCATTATTTTTGTATGGCCAAATAAATAAGTTAATACAATAAAATATTAAAAAAAGATACATACGTGCATTGTGATATTTCACAACACCGTTGAGGATTCCTTTGAGGATTGGTAAATCTTCTCCCATGTCTGATACCATTACAGTTTATCACTAGTAACTAGTTCACAGCCTATGGCCACAGATAATTTATATAGATTGGTAACTTTATGTTAAGTTTATGACTATTTTATTATTTTATACACCAACTAAAGTGTCACATATCATACGAATAATAATTAAACAATTTGCACATTCACTGTAATCCAATATGTAGTAGTAACAATCCAATGCAAGTGTAAGCTCAGCACACCGCGATATCTGATCAGCGGATAACACTGGAGCAGTCACCGTGAACAAGTCTCGCGTTCTCGTACCGAACTGCTGAGCGACTTAATAACATAGCGATAGCAATGAGGGCTGACGACCGGTGCGCGGGCCGGACTCCCTCGCACTGCGCCGCGGCGCGCGCCGTGCCAACCTTGAACTTGACGCGGGGATTGAGGAGGCGCGCGGGAAGGGGCGCCGTCAATAAACTCAGCGCCCCTGTGCCCGCGCGCTACCTCCCGCCACTCGCCCTGATAGCACCGCTCCGGTGCTTGCGCCACCTACCGTTCGAGCCTTGCCGATTTGACGTGACATGGAAATATTACGGTCGCTTTCCAAATTTATACGTGCGTAATAAAAGTTCGAAAACAAACGATAAGTTTTACATGTGATAATGATACCTATTAATAGATTTATATATTTCTTATGTTAAATTGTCAACTTAGTTTTCAGTACTACGAAAGTATTAAAAATTAAAGTATCTTTAGTAAATCATGCGAATCGAACGAATATGTAAAGTTAAATTTTAGTTCGACAAAATATGTTTTTTTATGTAGTTATACAATATAATCTTTTTAAATTTCATGAAATCGACTTTTATTAATATGTTTTTAATCGATAAAACAGCAATTAAAAGTACATGAGCTAAACTCAAAGATTTTAATTATGTATATCCAAATAACACTAGAATTACATATATTTTAAATAGATTAAATCGTATCGTTATTTAATTTATTTTAAATGACATAGTTTTTTTAAATATTTGTGTGTTACCTTTTCAAAACTTACTTAAATTATTATTTGCGAGTTGAAATTAAAATTTATATTTTTGGATTAAAACGTGCTAATAATATAATTGTAGTTTCTGAAAATCAAATATTGGCGCTAGTGTCGATAGAATACTGCAAATGTGCGCCATCTATGATAGAGTAGCAGAACTACATACAAATAAGAGCTTGGGTTTATTAGATATTTTTGTAACCTTTTAAATGTCTCGAAATGTTTGTGCACAACTTATGCTTTGATATTTTTAAATTAAATTATAAAACTTTTACATCTAATTAAAAAAAATCGGCTTGTATTTTCTTTTCAACTCAAATATTATTAAAGTATCTTGTCAGCTTATAAACTTTCCCACATGTGTTTTTCAATTCCGACTACAAGTCAAACATGGCCTTTAGTGCAACATAAAAACATAAACTCCTTAGTTGTAGTAAATAAGTGTGTTGCATTGATGTTATAATCATATGTCATCACACACCTGGGGAAACTACGCGAGGTCATCGAACTTCATTACGAAAGTGAAAATACCAATTTCACTCTCGCGCTTACGAAATTACAGTGCCTTTCTCTGCTTTCACCGCGCGGCTAAGCGCTCAGCAGGCGGTTGACAGCGCTAGTACCGCGACCGAGTGTCGCAACAAGCGGAGCGGGGCGACGCTGTGTAGCGCGGGCGTCGACCCGCTTAGCGTGCGCTCACCCGCGCTTGCATAACCGACCTCCCACGGCGGGCCGTACTCCCCTCCGAGTGCCTAAGCCCCGCGCTACACTCCTCACTCCCCGCTTGCCCTGAGCGACAACTGTGCGAAATAGGATCTGTTGCGAACAGCACGCGCGCTCGTACTCGTGGACGGCCCACTTGGCGCACTGACGTCCGCGCGCCCGACCTTCCCGTGCTAATTGCGTATGCATATTGCAACCCATCGTATGCGTGCCGACATGACACTGCGCAACATTCTCATAACATGTAATTCTATTATGTTATGCATTTATAATAGATAAATGTAAATTCTAATATTATATTATGGGACTTGTCTTGACTTGAGACTATAATAATTTTAAATGCCAATAACTTTTTATACCATTTCCAAGAGTTAATAATTTATGAGATGAAAAATAACTGACACAAAAACAGTTAAAAAATTAGTAAATTATAAATATATTATTAAATTATAGGTATTACTTTTTATCTGTGGGATTAATTTGTTGATCATTAAAGTGATTTTTGTATAATATAAAGCTTTTAAAATATAAATAAACGAAAAATATAAATAAAAGAAAAAACACAAATATCTTACCATCTCTGCTCATGCCCACGGCGATGCATTTTTTCAATCGGCAATACTGGCACCGATTTCTGTTGATCCTAAGGATGGAGCATTGTTGATTTTTCGTGCAGGGCCTGTACTGTATCTTCTGTTGTATGGATCGGCGGAAGAAACCCTGCGGATCACAGCGACAGTTAGTGTCGCGCTCGACATCAGAGCCGTCGTCGCTAGAGCAACCCGAGTCGCTGGACTCGCGGCGAGCCTCTAGCATGCTCACCAGCACCGAGTGTCTCTCACGCAACTCAGCGCCCGCGCCAGAGCTAGCGCTCGCGCTACAAGACATGTCACGCACCATTCACTAACACTGACTGCCCACTAACACCACCACTCTCCTCGTTAACAGAGACGCGACTCGTCGTGCAATAAGGCTTTCGCGCACTGCACCGACGTGGATGGCGGCCGACAGCAGACTGTGCGGGCGCTGCGTCGCGCGGCGCACAGTTACCCGCGCGACCTACTTGCCGGCCGCCGACCCAACCGAGAAAGTGAGAGTGCCCCCGGCCCCCTCGTGCGCTCCTAACGGTCCACGCCGCTCTAGAATGCGTCGCTGCCGCTGCACCGGTGTGCCGGATATAGGCCGGGCGCATCCCGGTGGCGTCGCGGCGTGCGGCCATTCACCCCGGGTCGTCGACCGCTCGATTGCACAACCGCGGAGGCTCCCCCGTACGCTCCCGCTCCCGGGATCAGTGCTACAGCCCGATCAGGTCGTCGACCGGCTCTACGCCCGGTGACGTCAAACATGCGTCACGGCCTACCTCAATGCGCGCGCGCTCCCCTAGGGGCTGCACTGATCCAATTTAATTAATGGATCATTACACAACAATGTTACTCGTGAAATTATTGTAAATGTTTATACTGCAATTATAAAGTGCTGCATTAAGTAAACAGTTTATATGGGTACAATATCCGATACATCTTAGTTTGCGTTTAATTATTTTGTTTACATAAACTGTTACAATTTTATCATACGCATAAATAGATTTAAAATGATTTTAGATCCGCATAATTATTTTTGCAATCCTTAGTAAACATTTAACCGACTTAGTATACATAATTTTACTGTAGTTGAAAGTAAATTACACCAGTTTTGTAGTTAAAGGTTTTGTTTTGTAATTGAAAATAAAACTAAAGTATGTACTACTTTTGAGAGTAGAGGAGTGCGCGGAGGCTGCGGCAGGCGAACTAGCAGCGAACAACGGGCGGGTCGCGTTGTGTTCGGGTCGGTGGCCTAATTTCGCGCTGCCATCGATCCATTGTGCGCTGTGCGAGTGGCCCATAATTGGTCGCAGCGCGGGCAGTGACCGGCCGCGCGGTCGTTGACCTGCTGCCGCGAAAACAAAACCTTATTCGTTGGTCTCACCGCACTTACACTTAGAGATTTATACGAAATTTTTTTGGGACCGACGAATATAACTACTGTGCTTATTTCTATTACTTCGTAAACAAATCCCACGACACGGTTACCGAGATCGATATTGTTATGCTTTGTTAGGTATTATTAATGTGCATCGATGTTTTGATTAATAGTCTTACTTATAAATTAAATAATCTGCGCGTGTGAATGACCCTATAATAATATAATTAACACGGTAACGCGATTATGAATATGAATGCTAGTACTATTTATGTTGAGCACTTATTACATTCCACAGTAATGTTATTTTAGGTCATTTTGATAATGTGATGACTCAATTTGTTGTAGGTATTGACAGTTATTATATGGGAATGATGTCATTTCGCACACATTTAGCCTTCTCTTTCTTAGGAGTTATTAATTATTCTTTTATAAAAGGCGGAGTAGGCGTCGGTTGCTTACTTAACAAAAAGTAATAAAACGACATCACATTACGTGTACCGTGTGTTAGACAGTGGCTAGGGAAACAAATTGCGTTGTTTAAAGATAATGAAAATTCCAAAAATCTATTTTTCACAAACTGTTGTTCTGAGTCTGGGTGTTCTCTGTGTGCGTTTCATGTATGTTTGTGTGTGTGTGTCCCGCGACACAGGATGTATGTCTAATGCGAGAGTTGTCTTTAAAAAGGAAAAAAATACGTTAATTTTAACGTAAAAGATTGCAGTCTCAAAGATAAATACGGATATACTGAGCGTCAGGATTTTTTGTGATGTTGCTGGAGCCCTAGCGTTAAACGCCTATTAAAAGAAACCAGAGCTTTTGGAGAGCTATTAAAATGTTATATAAAAGCTGTTTAACAAAAGTAGAATTTTTAAGAAGCTTACTCCATTTAAAAGTTGAAAAATATGGAGGCTGATAATGTATTAAATTATACATATGATTTAGATACACAATATGAATGTCGAAATCGGCAATAACTATCGATTTTTAGCAAATATTTTAACAATTTTTTTGTTTACAAAACTTGTGTAGTATGTTGAGTAATTTAGGTGTCTAATGATTGTATTTATAATGGAACAGTTGTAGTGTCATAATTGGTAGTTCACTAATGGTAGTGACAAAGACGTTGGCGAGGGCGGACCGCGCGAAGGTGCGAGCGGTGACGACGAGTAACGGTGCAGCGGACAACGACTCCGCTAACATCGGCTCAAGTTAAAAATATGCTGACGCATTTGCTTCACTATGTTTCCGAGGAAGCTCACCGGTGGCTTGAGATTAAAGGTAAGAACACACGGAGATCTTTTCCCGTATATGTAGCAGGATCAAGATACTTACTTAGAATGCATGTTAGTAGTAAAAGTAATTGTATTGCTTGAATGTTTTAATCTTTTTGCGGATCCCTACGGCTTTTAGTTTGCTGTCGGGTAAACAACAATATAATAAATTCGATTTGCAATGCCCAAGAAGCCTTAAAAGGACACGCTCTCTCATGTTTTAGACATAAAGCTAAAATACACGACAATAATAGTTGAGTGAGTGTTCAGCTTTACCGTTCGCTTTACGTGCCTGCCGGTCCGCAGATGTTTACATGATAACACACGACGCTGACTCACGTCATTGTGATTCATTTCCCGTTCGCGTATCGCACTTTTATTCTTAGTAACTAACGTAACTCCGATAGCCAACTCACTTGTCCCATTAAGCGACGTGCTCACATTAAACTATTGTTTCGACAATCTGTTGCCAGGATGATTAGTTATCATCAGGACAACTGACGTTACTGATACATAAGTACTGCTCATGGTAAATATTAAGAGACCCAAACTGTTAAATAAGTACTTAAATCTAAATGAATCTCTGTTCAATATTATTTTTTGGCTTATTGTTTTTATCACACTAAACATTTCGCTTTATATATTCAAAGTACCTAACCAAAGGCCAATCTTGTGAGCACGATTTCTACTATTGAGAATAGAAAATTCAAATTATTAAATCTGGTACCTAGCGAAAACACGTAATAAACTTGATGGCAACAAGCCTAAACTTTAGCCAGTCTTAAAAGACATAATGTGGATTTTTGTAAAATTAAAATTTGGCTCTTATCTACAAACTTCGTGTTTCCTCAGTAAGGTTATAAAGAACTAAAAAGCAGTGAGAGTTTTAATAGAGCTTTATATTGTGAGTAAATTTAATATTTATTATATTAAATTTAAATAATAATGTTTGATTTTTGCTTTTGCAAAACGGAGTCAAGTTCGGATTATATACATAATCCGTTCAACAGGAAATCATAAACGTGAACGCAACAGTCAGCGCCCGACGTTCTCAATAAATAATATTACCGCTCGGGATCAACGAACTTTTGAGCTGACAGTTCAAAAATAATGTGGGTTACGTTCACGTAGCGCGTACATTCGATGCCCGTAAAAGTTGTTTACGGCGAGGAGGCGGTGCGAATGTGCGCGGCGCCGGGCGCACGAAGCTAGCTATCGAGGTCGATGCCCGCTCGCCCTACACCACCGAATCGGTGCCGAAAAAATAAGCGACCCACAACGCACGGAAATTATGTCGGCCACAGTCGAGAACAAAGAAGTCGGTGAGCTCTTCGTAGCAACGATGATTATAATGAATATTATTGACCTTATTCTTAAATAACTATATCTAGTATTTAAGTATGACAAAAAGATATTTATACTTATTAATAATAATATATCATTTAAAAATAAAAAAATACATTAACGTACGTTATCTTCCTGTTGTTTATTTATTTTTCCTAGTAGAAATACTGGGTTAATTCACCAAACGAAAACTATTTCTTTAATCATAATAACATATTCATTCGAAATATAACATAATAATTTGAAAATTTAAAAAGACAAACGTACGTTATCTTCCTGTTGTTAATTAAATTTTTCCTAGTGGAAATACCGGGTAAATTGACCCAACGAAACCTATTTATACGTAATACCATATAAATTCTTTGCATATAAAGAGAATTAACTCATTAAATAGGTAAGTTAATAAATTAGGATTAAAAAAGTCTAGAATTTTGAGTTCATTGACTTCGTCGGGTCGGTCGCGCATCAGATATCGTTATAAAAAATACACGCTCGCTCGTCATTCATTCAAGTTGGTTCTCGCCCGTAGCCGCATCGCGTAGTAGCGGCAGCACTTGCGCAATACGTGTCGCGACACCTAGCGGCGAGTAGCTGAACTACTGAAAGGATTCCTTTTTACACCGCTAGCTAGCGCTTTACAGGTTTAAAACGAAAAGTATTTTTTTACCTAGTTAAGATTTTGATAGAAAAGATATGCGTTTTATAATTGGTTACTCCTATTAGCGTTGCGAATTCGTTTTCGCTTTCATTTCTACTATCTTGTTAAGAATCAGATGTACACTAAATTTTACTATTGATTGTTTTTTGTGCAATTTCTCGCGAAACGGTGAGGAAAGATTTGGGAATATATGACAATAATCGTCGCAAATGAAGATGAATTCTAGGACCTTTATTTAATCTTCAACAATGCACCAGACAGACGTGCGGCCCCGAAGAGCTGCGCCTGTAGCGAACTAACCAGTTTAGACTAGGTTCACTTGCGCTGCTTCCTCACTTCCATGCTCCAAGTGCCTCTTCTACCCACTTATTACACATTTCTTACTACATTTTATTAAGTTTTAGAGATAAATTTCACGAGGGAACTACTCATTGTTATAAAAAAAATATTTTATGTATACTATGAGGAAGTAATTAATGTGGAGTTCAAATGCTCTTGAACATTCACCGGTCACGTAATTGACTACTTTCACTAACCTTTAGAGTTAGTACGTGATGATGACGTTTCACTTAAATCCTCAACTTTTTAATAACGTACAATATGGACGCATTGCTTATACAGTTGGGAGATTTACTACTATTATTATCTATCTTTCGTTCTCATCACTTCCTTTTAAATTTTTGTATTTAGAACAACAAGAAAAACATTTAGAGCAATGACTCTTACACATACATTTTATAGTAAATTAAATGTCGTATGTGTCCCTTTGTCCTTATCGAAGTTTAAGCCGGAGAACAAACATTTGTAACTTATAAAACGGGCACTTTAACAAGGATGTACCGATCCGTCTCAAGTGTTCCCATTCAAGGACTGGTCTGTTTGAATATATTAAGAAGTCATCGTACCCGTATGAAACGTACGAAGAGAGGAGAGAGTAAGATTACGGATTTTATTTAATATTGACGAACCTATACATAAGGTAGATAATAATTAGGTGTTCTGTAACCTCATCACGTTTAAAACATCCTTGTGTTTTGATTTATAAGACATTTGGATGCACAACTAGTCCAAGTTTGATCTTACCAAAAGTTTAAAATTCGTCGGCCGGTTCCCGTGTGATTGTGCCGGGGCAGGTATGAAAAATAAAACATATAGAATTGGGGCGCAAGGGTCTGACCGTCGCGTCGCGCGCCGAGGGCAGCAGGTACCTACCCGTTGACCCAAAAGCATTCGTAACTCAACAAGTTCACACGTTTTTTTTTTGTTTAGTTCAATAGTAATGTTGCGGCGACGTCTTTATAAATCAAATTAACATTTTGTAAATAAATAATAAGGTCATCTAGTTTTTGCGACGAATGCATAGAGATTGTGTTCCGCGTGTCGTGACCTTGTTGTTCGGTGGACTAACTGGCACCTGTCGCGACTATTGCAAGACAACGGCTTGCATCAGGGACTGAGGAGCGCTGGCCGCCAGCGTGTACCCGCACATATACTTCCTGCTTCAGATACCGAGTCTACCCGTACGCGTGACTCAATTAGGCGTCATTAACTTCAAGACGTGATCTAGCCATTTCCTGTTCTGGCTGTTCAAACGACTCAGTGGTGGCGGTAGTGGGTAGAATAACAACGGTGCTGGTGAGCATTTCAATCAAATAAAAAGAAATTGTATAGTTACCTTGCAACCTTCGCAGGAATGCACGCCATAGTGAAAACCACTAGCTTTATCGCCGCACACGCGGCAGAGCACCGTGGTGCCGTCAAACTCTGCAACAAAACAGTAAACAGTTATAGAAACCTGTGTACGTAATTCACGATAAGTTTTATGGGCGTTTCAAAGATTACAACGTTAAACATCCTGAGTTGTGTTACAAGGCGGGTGTGTATACCAAACATAGAACGAGCACACGTGACCTTGCGCCACCAACATCACTCACACGTTTGTCATCAACTCGTTATACATACATGAGTACATGATTAGGGATACCCATCAAATAATTATTTATTAATTAATTGTATATTGTACAAACATTTGTTCCAAGAGCATAAAGGAAACAAATCTGTAGATAATGTGCCTGTCTTATGCTTCATTCCATACCATTGTGCTATTAACATTTTTCCAACAGAAAAAATATCAGTAATATGAAAGACGCCAGGAACCGACAGCTAAGCCTCTAAGTCACGCGCAAACTTTACGAGACGCCTATCACTTAGGATAAGTAAATATTAAAATCATGATTATTCATCAGAAACAGATATAGATAATCATGCATACTATATTATGACTGTCAGCGAGCTCCGACGCGGTGCGTGATCGCGTATTTGGTACTTTGGTTTTTAATTACATTTCATAACATTACGCCACGATATGAGATATCGCAATTTTCATTTTTTCCTGATGCCCCGGAATAATTGATTGTGATGAATTTCTAGTCTACAGACAACGCACTTTTTGCCAATAGTACTTTTTAAATCTTCCATAGTTATATACTTTAAATACATAGAAGGTCCGTATTGAAATTTGTACGTATTGCGTGTTCAATGTGGCACTAGATATGTAGAAAGTGTCTCTACCTTTAAAGTTGAGCCAAACCCTATCTCCTTAATCAGCGAGAGATCGACTTTGTATTTATTAAATATGATTATTTTTAAACGTTGTGTGTATGTGTGTGTGATACAAATATAATACACATCCAATACCTATTATGCTAAATAGGTCAAAGGTTTGGTGATTATGACATTATGATCCAATTAATTAATAGTTGAATTAATAATACGAAAATGTCGTAAAGTAAGTTATATTTTGAGATTTCATAATGACTAATGTAATAATAGGTGGCGAGCGATAAGGTCGCGGGCAGCGACAACAGGTGCGCAGCCAGTAAAATGTTTACGGCTTAAACGTACTGGCAGGGTTCGACCAGGAACTGGTTCAGTTGGCGGCACGGACTGCTCTCACTTTCCTCTTCCAGCCGTTTGTTTATTTGTTAAGGGAGCGGGCTCGCCGGGCCTTTTGGAAGAAACTTTCTATTTCTGGCGTGCACCACTCGCCTCGGGTCGATGTTCGGCGCCGTCGCTTTCTATAATAGTTACTTTCTTTTTTCTAGTGGCGGCGTTTGGTCGCCATGTACGCAATGAATTTGGTGTCATCTCGAGTAAGTTCGGCGTGATTGCCGAGTTACAGAGAGTGGGGAACACAATAGAACAGCGAAAGCAATGCGAGACGTAACCGATGCGGTTGCAATCTAGTCAGTGGCGTGCAGCCATTTCTCTTCGTATGATGCAACGTGTGTTTTTCTGTGTGGCGTGTGTGAGAGTCGCTCGTTCGTTACGTCAATTAAAAGCAGAAGAAAGTGCGGGAGAAAGTCTTGCGTCCACGTAACGCGAATGCCGACCGGGCGTGCATAACATTCACGCGGCCACTCCGACCGCTACAGATCTGTGTCACGGCGATGTTTGTTTGTAAATAATTATTTCTAGATCAAAATTATGTTTTATGCTTCATTTCCTAGTCCCCAAACACGTTTGTTGAAATGTGTTTACAATATAAACCATTGTTTACAATATAGTTACAAATAATATATTGCCACCTAGTAGGTAATCAGATTTGATGTAAGCGGTTGAGTGACTTGTTTAGCATTAATCTTAGAGAAAAGTAAAAGTAGCGCGGTTGGTGAGGCGGTTATTGTCGTCTCGCAGAACCTGCTTAGTTACTTTTTTTATTTATTTTCTTGCATCATTTGTTATAATTCGTTTTAATCATCAATAAAATGTGATCGACAAAGAGTTAACGGTTAACTCTTTGTTAATTTTAGCTGAGAATTTCACAGAAACCGTATTACAAAAGCAATCGATAAAGAGCTATAAGATCATTAGGAATCGATGGCAAATGTTCATGGGCTCCCGCTGTTCTGCTTCATATTGGACCCCATCGATTTGCACTGGCCTCATTGTAAACGTAAACTATTAACATTATTATACACTACATGTATTTTGTACAATGCATTTATTAATTGTTTTTCGGTGGGCCTTGACGGAAATGTTCAACAATCAATCCATCAGTCATTCGTTACGCGATTCAATCAAGCTGCAAATACATTTTGTTAATATTGTACCCCTTTCTCAGTTACAAACATCATTAATCAGAATTTCACATACAAAAGGGCATTGCATTTAATGAACCAGAGTATTTCATTGTCACATAATTTTATGAAGGTTATTATTCTTCGCCATTCTTATCTATGTACCTACCTACTCGTATACTTACGATGGTTTTGTAAATTTGATTAATTACTAATTTATATTAATAATTGAGTTGGCATTATGTTTAGTGCAAAATCGCCAAAGAAGTTATAAATATGTAATTCAAAAACAAATAAGAACAAATAGGTAAGTTAGAAATATTGTTACATAATAATATTACCTGTAATGTGTTACATATTGTACATACATAAATCAAAGGAATGCTTGGTAGGTATCTTGCCTTGGATACAAAAGTGCTACGTAGGTATTATATCAAATACTAAGCTAATGAAACAACGTAGGTGGTAACTATAAGTCTACTCATACAAAATATTGAAAAATATTGTTATATTAATTACAACTTTATGTTAAAATTGTGATGTTACAACAAGTGATAGCAGTAAATGAATAACAGTTGAGAAATTAAAAAAAATCAACAATAAACATGGAAAGTAAATAAACAAAATATGTTAATAATGGTAAGATAAGGTAATCATTGTTAAATTTCTACCTATATGCAACTCGGGCTCCCGTTCCTTGTGCGCCGGGCTCATCATATTATGGTCACCTGGCGTAGGCGCATCATAACGCCCGTAACTGCTATCAGGAGACATCACAAAAGTCATATATCGCTGTGTACTTTAAACCTAATTATTTTATCCTCCCCCACACTGCACTACACATAAACCACATGGAGCTCGCGCTCAGACAAGAAGTGTCTTGCGTGCTCTAACACTGAATATAGGACAGGAGTGCATGGGCCGGCACGTCAAGGGATGAAGGTCGCTCGTCTCACGATATTGCCACTGCACGCGCCGCGTGCGATTCACTCGAGCTCGATCGACGAACTGAACGAGTGCCGCGCGCGCTCCTGCACGAAGCCGCGCGAGTCTCCCCTTAAGAGTGAAAGTCTGCAAAAAGATCAGCGCTCTGTGCAATACAATCGGTTCGACGACTAAGCGTAGCTGGCTAAGCGAAACTCGCCCTTATCGTACGACTAAGCTTGTCGATTTGTGCTTCGAAGTGAAGATCGGCGCGCTTCGAACTCCGGTCTCCGAGGTCATTGCCGCGCTAACAGCGGGCCAATCGCTAGCAGGCGCAGACGTGCGCGGCGAGCGATTGGAGGGTTGAATCCGCTCCGCTCCCCGCGGCCCGCGCTCAGCTCGAGTTCGAAGACCCGAACCTTGCGGCCACCGCGGCCAAGGTCGCGCGAGAGCGGCACCGACAGAGAGACTAACCGAGCGTTCGAGTGGGACGTAGCCGTTGCCGGTTGCGTCACACTATGAAAATATTTTTGGTGATGGAACGCGAGTGAACTTGAACACAAACTGAAGCTAATGGATGGCGAGCGGTATCACCGCGTGACGGACTGACCCGCTGCCGCATCGCCCTGCTTGCCCGATTCCCTCATTGCACACGCTTCCGTCATAGCAAACTCTTTCGGCTTCTTCTTGCATTATTAGCTCAGTATATAAGTAGATACATAGAGATGTACCTGTCAAAACTGTCTTACAGAATACCTTTTGCACACATTTGTACATATTTTTATAAAATTCAATACATACATAAATATTTAAGTAGGTAGTTACATTTACATCATAGCCATTTTCACTCGTCCACTCGCATTATGTAATTCTGGAAAAAGAGCTAATTCATTTGAAATTCGAATCACACTAAACATTGAGATCTTAAAATGCGTTTAGTGGTTGAGTTCTGATTGTAATAGTACTAATAGATACTGTGATTCACCGATTCCTATATCATGGCCCCAATTAATACCTACTACGTAACAAGGAATCTAGTGTAACTCTACATAATACGTATTACCTATCTACCTACTTGTAATTGATAAACAAGTTTCTTTTAACAATAGCTACATAAACACGAATTTATATAACAACGACGTTACAATTGACATGATAGTTGAAGAGTATTCTTTATAATGAGTACCATTAGTTCTATATTGCCTTGCGCGAAAATTTATTTACGCGAGATAAAACGAGTGGCGGTGGGCGTCGCGGTGGGTGAACGACCTGGAAATTTTGGCGCAGGCCGGTCAAGGCCACTAGCACGCGGCCGCGCAGGCGCGTCGTAATAACCGTCAGCCTACTAACACTGGACTCGACTGGAGACCAGGCCATCATTCGTCCATTACATTCATTGAACACATATTTTTCCATCTTGAAATAAATCACGGCTTTTAACACATCTTAAAAGACTAACACAAGCTAATACAAAGTTTTAATAGTATGGGTATAGTGGTAATTATGAGCATAAATATGATTATACAACAGTCTTTGTATTACAACATTCATTAAAGGTCATTTAACTTATTTTTATTAAATACATAAGGATATTACGCTATATTTAGCGCGTTATTATGTTGTTTATATATAGATGACATCACGTTTGCCCCAAATTCACCAGACCATTAATAAAGTATGTATCCCTAATTCATAATTTCGTAGAAATATTTTTATCGATATAAAATTCTTCTACGCAGTTTATACATTTTGTTAAAACGTCGTCGTTAACTAGACCCAGAAACAACATAAAATAGTTATCTACTAGTTAGGAAGTATAATATAGTATTGGAAGTTAAGGCAAATTTAAGTTCTTAGAATGAATACCTTTTTATGTTTGTATTTAAATTTTCCTCGCAAAACGTTTCGTAGGTACATGAGCGGACATTATAAGTATGTGAAGATAATTAAGGTGAACCGGAATATATGTATAGTATCCTGCATCCAGCAACTACAGCTGCTTCTACGTATTATGTATACATAAACGTTAAGCCCAATTATTATTTTCTATAATCTTCAGGCAAAAGGGTATTGTGTTTTGACATCAATATGTGACCGAAAGGTGTGCGTATATTTTTTATCAAAATTATTTCGCTCCAGTACTATCCCCTTTTGCACAAAAGGAAGCTTTTTAAAGGGTTTCGCAAATATCCTCCCACGTGCATACTTTTTACAAAGTTGTAGAGTTCATGTTACTAGTGGTGCGACTGATATTTTGTCATAATTTTATTTCGACACATAGAATAAGAACCTATTCATATTTCATTGTTTTTCTTTTTTATAAAAATACCTTCACACATCTCACACAGCCGTCTGATTCCAACTTAGGCACAGCCTGTGCTATGGTAACCGGAATCCTGTTAAACATACTTATATATTTCTAAATACATACATGTTATAGACAAATTACACCCAGAAACAGAACCAATCATCGTACTCATCACACAATTATTTGTCCTGAGTGGGAATCGAACCCACGACCTCCGTGCGTTAATTATACATAGATTGGATTTTACAATTCAATTGTATTCCTGAGAGACCTGTTAGTTTAATGGTTAGTAGGTATGGAATAAAATCGCAATCACATGTCAATCATTTCATCACATCTGTGACTGATTTACAAAACCATTGCTACCAAAATAATATTATTACGCTAGCGAAAGACCCGCAAAAGGTCCAAATCTAAAAAAAAGGTCGTAATCTATACTAATATTATAAAGCTGAAGAGTTTGTTTGTTTGTTTGTTTGTTTGTTTGTTTGAACGCGCTAATCTCAGGAACTACTGGTCCGATTTAAAAAAATATTTCAGTGTTAGATAGCCCATTTATCGAGGAAGGCTATAGGCTATATATCATCACGCCAAGACCAATAGGAGTGGAGCACCAATGAAGAATGTTTCAAAAACGGAGAAAATTTATTACTATTGAGAGACGCAGACGAAGTTGCGCGGGTCAGCTAGTCTTTGATAAAAAGATGCTTGATTGATGTTAATGCCCCATCTTTGTCCATGATGAAATCTCAATCACATGTGAAATCGCTGTGGCTAAAACCTATCATTTCATCAAATGAATATGATTTAAAAGTAGCAATAGGTTCCATGTCTAATGGTTAGTAATCCTAACTGCTAAGCCAGAGTTCGTCGTCGTTCGTCTAAGTGAGACTAAAGTTATAGTAGGCAAAATATGGGCGTTAATCCCCCTGGAGGTAAAAGACATGTGATTATCGCCCTGTCGAGTCTACACACAATGTTTAATATAAAATTCGGTGTAATATAAATCATAGACTAGTGTCAATACTTACATAATACATATTTTAAGTGTAATAAGTAAAATGGATAAAAGCTGTTATAGACACTTAGTTATCAAAGGTCACTCACTGACATTGGCGAATTCAAACCTTACCTGACATTACTACATTACTTTACATATTCGTCCTATAATGACTCCAATGTAAATAATAATATAGTAAAAAATCGCTTTACGACATGTGTGCCGATTAAAACATGAAAGTGAATAGGAACCCAGTTTTTTACTTCCTTCCGTTGCCCTCACTTTTAATGCCGGGGTGCGAATATCAAATTTCAGTCAGCTTTTACTTTAACACAAATAATAAAACGATTTAGGACCTAAGTTTGATTTCCCTAAGGTTCAGTTCAGTTCAGTTGCTTTTACTTTCGACCAAAAAAAAACTAAAGCCGGCGTATCGTCAGTCGGTAGCCACATGTAGGATATCTATTGTTCATCGTGACCACAGTCGGTGGGACTTGATGATCTCGATAGATTGGCCATTTTTTTTATCAAATAATAAAAAAGCAGACCGTATGCCATATTGTTTGCAATTTATGGCTTTCTATTTTTTTGTTTTCCTGGTTTATGTGTTTATGTATGTACTCAATTACCAAAAGTAATACCTACACCTTTTCTGAACAAAATAAAAACGGCATCTTATATTGAAATATTTAAATTTAATGTTTATCATTGATGTTATTTAAAAAGTTGTTGAACAAAATAAAAGGCAAACAATGAGTGAGGAGCCGGGCGGCCTTTCCGTGCTGACATTGAAGGACACTGGGACAAAGGCGAGTGGCCGTCCTGTCCCCTGACAAATGGGATATCGTACTTTATTTATTTTACATCCATTATCCGACTCATAAATTACATTAAGAACGTGTCAAAGAATGGTTTTAACAGCACCTTTTTTAAATTGTCAGTTAATAGAATATAACACAAATTAATACATATGTAAAAAATATTTTCTTAATTTGCCTTAATGTGTGGGGAAGAATTGGTGATTGATAGCCAGTGTAATCAGTGTACTAATAAAAGTTTAAATTGGTGGTTTAAGTTTAAAAGCACAAACTGTTGGTGAGGGTAAAAGCCATTTAATTTATTAGTCAAAAAATAATAAAAAAGAAATATATTATCAAGCACAGTAAAGGCTAAAAACGGTAAGATAATTACATACATCGTTAAAGGTCACTCATCATCATCGTGTAGAAACTAGTGCATAAGTGAATGAATTTAATAGTTTTTAATTTTAAATACCTATATATTTTTATTTTAAGAGTAGCCTGTTACTGATGTAGGTATACGCACAGCATTTATGTTTGAGGTTGGAGAAAGTATTATTATAAGCACCTTCGATTAACAATACAATTCTATTGTATTGAAGATAAGCACGGTCGCTTGTGTAATATATTATATTATTAATAACTTAGTTACGAGAAAACTACAACACAAAATAGACCTTTAATTGTACCAAATACCTACAAACAACCGAGGATTACATATTAAAAACGGCGCAACAATATTGTAACCAGATGCTGGCGGCCTGGATACGTTGAAAAATTCTGCGAAGTCACGAGGAGCCTCGTTGGCAATTCGGTCGGATCGGAGCTGAGCCCGAATGTTTGTAGCGGACATCAGTGCGGTCAAGGTCTCGCTGAGACGGCGAATCATTCGATGCGCATCGGAAACACGATAGGCCCGCCACGTTGATTGTTATTGTGACCGTATTTGACCATTAACCAAGCCACTATACGTCAATCTGTCTGTGCATTTTGTATTGGTCTGCCTTTTCATAGGTTCTATCAAATATGTAGCATCATTTTCTAAATTATTAAAAAATATGTTTAACATTTAACTGCTCAAATATACATATTTTTATAACATTATTAGCATTCATTAAATACTATTTTAATAAATAAAGTCTAATTTTAAATGCTATGTATTAAAATCTTCACCTAAACAATGTTTTACACCAGTTCTTCCAGACTACCTTGGAATCTAGTTTTTTTCTATTATTTACCAAACGATTACTTCAATTCTAATTTCATTTGTTCTAATTTTGATATCTAAACTCCTGGATATACCGAAATGATTTTTGAACTTTTTTTTATGTTTTCAGATAGCAAACTGATATAATGTTTTAGTAAATCATAAAGGAGAGTAACTAATGGGGATTGGCGTAGCGCTCCGAGCTGC